ACCGGTATGACCTACGACTGCTTACAACATAAAAACACATAAATTAAATACACACGACCAAATACGGCACAATTATACCTGTGCATTGGGAGGAGCATACAGCCACAGCTCCTCTTAACGCGAAATACCAGTCAAAATTTCATAAATAATCAATCACTTAGGAGTTCATTCACATTCAACTCATTCACAATTAAACAAAAAATAATTTTGAACTGAACCGTTTTAGTATCCAAGCACTTTCTCCTCTGACCACCCTCTGAAGACGACTTCGTCCGCAGAGCACCGAGAACCATCACCGAATACCACCAGTGATCAACGACAAAACCAGTGCCACCATCCAAAAATATACAACACGTCCTGAAGAGGCTTAAAATATCCCATAAAACTCCCAGAAAATCTACCAACGAAAAACACCCAACCATCACAAATCAAACGAAACGACTGCAACAATATCCCATTCAAACAACAAACGGAAACAAACTACAAACGGCAGAATACCCGATATATTATGTTTGATTACATCACTAATAGAGAACTTCTTCTTCTTCTTCCTCTTTATAAGCAATGCTGATTTTTCATTGGCGGATTAATACCTCTATGAGAGGTTGTTACTCCATCTTTTGCGCGGTCGTCTAATACTTATTTTGCCGATTGGTGACTTTGCTATTTTGACGATACGGGTCTCCCCATTCTGCTTTTATGGTTATTCCATTCTTTTTTCTATTTAGTGTCTATTCATTTATACACTATATGTTACATTTTCTTCTAATATCTTCACTTTTATTTCGATCTCTCAGTGTCTTTCCTGTAATTCTTCTCAGTACTCTCATCTCTGCCGTTTCCAATAGCCTTTGTGTTGTGGCTGTGTCAGGTCTCATTTCTGAAGGCATATGCCATTATTGGTCTCCTACTGGCTTTATAAATTCTTCACTTTAACTCAGTGTTAAGCTTTTGCTCTTATGTTAAATCTGTGGACCAGTCTTTGCAGACTATATTCATCTTGGGCTATCAATTATGCATCGTCTGCATAGCACAACGCTTTTGATGATTTCATCCATGATTAAATTAAAGAGCGTAGGGCTCAATGAGTCTTCCTCCCCTGTCTTATGCCGCTGTATATTTCTATAGGTTCTATAAGTTGTCCATCTATTCTGACTTCCATTTTGGTGTTTTGGTAGATGTTTTCAATAGTTTTTATAATATTTAGAGGAACTTCTCTATTATACAGAAGATGAATTACATATTTGAGTCTTACACTGTCAATGCTTTCTTCAAGTCAATCAGACTCAGAAATACTGATCTATTGTACTCTAGTGATTTCTCAGTAATTTGCTTTATGAGGAATATTGTATCTGTATACGATCTTCCACTACGGGAACTTACTTTACCAAAGACGGAATACCAGACGAATTACTTTCAGTAATTCGTTTGGTATCCCATCTATATCTGCTGCTTTTCTGTTGTTTCTGGTGTTTCCGGTTCTGGCGTCGATTGTTCTTCCTCTGCATAGAGCTTTTTTAGGCAGTCAATCCATTTATCCTTTTCTATGTGTTTTGGTTGTATTAGTTCCTTTACCTCCGTTCTTTGACCTCTTATGAAGCACCATGCTTCCTTTTGCAGACCATAAAACTCATGTTCCATTTCTTTCGAAAAGCATTCTCAGTGATCATTTTTTACTTTTCTTAAAAGTGCATGTGTTTCGTTTCTTATTGTCTTGTACTTACGGTTTGCCTCTTGTGTTTTGGTTGACATGTATTTCAGGTAAGCTTTTTTTTCTTTACATTTTTCCTTCATTTCTGTACAAAACCAATAGAGAACTCAAAGTAAGAATCAACGAAATATGGACAAACAAACTTCCTTATAAAAGATTTGGTTTGGCAAGGAAGTGTCTTTGGACTTCTTTGTATATTATACAGTACAGGTCTACCAACAAACAGAACTGCAGTCACAGGAACTTTTGCTGATAAGACAGGCCATCTAGAAAATCTTTTCTAGGTTCCACAAATAGAGAATAAATAGTTATATGAATAAAAAGGTATAGTTAGTGAATTTTTGGGTTAACTGATTTTTATTCTCCATTTGTAGAACCGTTTTTTAAGATTTTCTACGTGACCCTGTAGGGTAGGGTGTTGAAGCGATAGTGAGATCATCATACGACAGCGACGCTAATATGGCCTGATCATCAGCAAAGTTCCTGTGACTGCAGTTCTGTTTGTTGGTAGGCCCATACTGAATAATATACAAAGAAGTTGTCCAACGAGACTTCCTTACGGAACATCAGCTTTTATAAGGAAGTTTTTTGTCTATATTTCGTTGATTCTTACTTTGAGTTCTCTATTATTGATGTAATCAAACATAAGCTACTGCAATGAAACAACAAAATATTGAAGACGCCGATTGTTACGGTGATTCTATTTGTAGCGCTATACTGTTAGTAATTAAAATACTACGTTGCGTTTTATTTAGCGTTATAAACCATTAAATGTTTGTTGTTGAAACTTAACAAGACATCAATTTTATTGTACTTTAAATAGCACACGCTGTAAACTTTCCTCGGGTTTATTTGTAGTCTACTGGAAATCGTTTATAACATAAAATAAAAAGGGAATAATCATTTTCTAGAATTAAAAAAAGTGATTTTTTTTCTAATATATATATATCCAGTTCGTGATTAGAAAAAGATTAACTAAAACACTGTTCTGAAAAAGTAGAGGAATTCGATCAGAAGCTGGGGTGTTGAAAGAATCTTGTTCCCTGATTGTAATAGGTAAAATCTAGGCCAAACATAAATAATATTTGTATAATAATATACTACACACTTAACACAATTTTATATCAATATAATGTTGCGTTTTTGACTCAAAAGACAAAATAATCCGGAAGGTTTACTCGTATGCTACAATGGAGCCGTTATTTAATTTGCTTTATTGGGTACCTTTTACAAGAAAAGCAACTTATACTTGTAATGGATAAAATTGAAGTAAATTTTTCAAAACTTTTTATATAAACTACTGGACAAAATTAACGCACCACTTTAAATAATCTAAATATTTACAATATGAACACAAAATAAAACTAAGTTACATTGAAATAATAATAAACACCTACAAATAAGTCCAACATGACTTTATCATGGCGTTAATTTGCCTTATTTTTTCTTTAAAAAATTGTTTTTGTTGGAAATGCGTAAATAAGCTAGCTTCTCTACTTCTTATGACTGCATTTATGCGTTGAGGCATGCTTGATATCAAATGTTTAACAAAAGCTTGCGGAATATTTTCCCATTCTTCAATAACGGCCTCAATGAGTTGGTTGTGATTGGCAATAGGGGGTCTACGACTTCGAATCTTTTTTTTTAAATAGTCCCATAGATGCTATAGTATTCATGTCCGGACAGTTAGGTGGCCACTCTCATAATAGAATAACAACATCATTTAGGTAGCCAATAACCTGTCAAGACACATGAGGACGAGCGTTGTCTTGCATGAATAAAAAATTAGGTCCAAGAAACGGAGCAAAAGGCATTACATTATGTTCAACAATAATGTTGTCTAAGTAATAATGGGCATTCATAGATCTCGTACGTATGGGAACCAACTCCGTTCGAGCTTCAAAACAAATTCACCCCAAAACATTTTAGAGCCACCACCAAAAGGTACTTTAGGAGAGATATTGCAGCTGGTAAACCTTTCTCTGGAGAGCTTTTAGGCTTATTCTAGTCTCATCAGAGAAAAGAACTGGTTTCCAATCATCGATGGTCCAATTTTGATGCAATCTTGCAAAATTCAATCTCTGAAACCTGCGTTCTTTGGCAAGCATGTGTTTTTTGGCCAGTTTTCTGTTGCTCAATTCTGTTTTATGTAAACGTCTTCTAACTGTTCGAGACGATATCGCGACATTTCAAACATTTGCTAGTTCATTTTTTAGACAATTTGCTGGTGACTCTCCTATCTCTCCGTTGTCTCAAAAAACGATCATCAATTTGATTAGCGCAACGTTTTCGCCCTTGCCCTGGTCTTCGATGGTACGACCCTGTTTCATTAAATCGCCTCACCTTGCGACTGATGCTGGACTGATGTCTTCCTAACAAACCTGCAATGTATCGCATTGAATATCCTTCATCTAGGAGAGTCGATGCTCGTACTGCCTCCTTCACTGACAAGTTTATTTGGCAGTTCATTTTTTTATTTGATTTTTATGCAAATGAACTTCCAAACATGTATGTGATGAAAAATATCACAATAAAAAGCTTGTTTCTCACAAGCACTTTGCTTTAATCGGCACTTTTTATGAAAAGTTTAACTCACTTTTAGTCTAAAACGAAGTTTATTACAAATTATTGTTAAAACAGGACTATTATTAGCTTACATAACAACTGTCACTGTCAAACAAGGTCCATAGGCAGGCAACTTGTCGTACAGTAAATTATCAATATTATTGAGAAAAATATGAGTGGTGCGTTACTTTTGTCCAGGAGTTTATTTGGAATAATTTTGGGACATGGGTGATGAATCCATTATCAAAATAAATGTCTCTATTTGTCACAGTTTACAGGTAAACGTATTTTTCTAGGTTTTTCGGAATCAAAAGTAAAAAAATTTCCTAATTGTTCATTTTTATCCACATATCTTTTAATGCTGAACTCGAATACCCTAGCAGTTTTTCTGTATCTGTTGCGGTTTTGGCTGCACTGATTCGAGGACGGACGGACAGACAGACGGAAGAACGGATATACACACGGACGGACAGATCGAAATTAAAAGATAAAACTTTTTCCGATTCAAAAAGATTTTAATGGTTAGGTTGATATGTGTAAAATGATTTAATGAGCGTACCATAAACGGTATAATTTCAGCATTTTAAGTCTTTTACTCGAAACTACTGTTACCAATTGTTCAGAAGATTTAAATTTTAGATTTAAATAAAATTAATGTGTTGTTAGGTTTCAAGTAAATTCCATAATAAACATTTTATATAATCTTACCTGACTCAATCACAAATTAACTCGAAACAAACGCCCAACATTCAAGCGTCTTCACTACGAAGTCAATTTTAGGCGTGAGCGGATCGTTACCGTACGTCTTGCAGGACTCAGACCTGCCAATATAAAGGTCACCATCGAGCCAGAGTCCAAATTTACCATCGCCGGCGCCAATGCTGATACTTTCGTTGTTGCCTTTGATGAAATACAAGTTTTCTCCCGTCCAATTGAATACTTTGAATTCGGGCGTGAAGGAAAATAGCAGAGATTCGCCAGTGCCGTAGAAGTGGTCAGATACCTGAAGGGCACATGAGGTCAGAGCACCAAATACCTACAAAAACAATAAAAGAACGTTAGAAAGTTAGTTGTTTTAAAATTAAGAAAACAAAACAGTCTTGCCTTTTCAACTTTTCCACAAACCAGATTCAACCTTTATTTATATCGGGGCTTTTTAATTAAAGCATGAAAATGGTAGTGACATTGCAGTGACAATACTGCATTTTTTAAAGGATCTTTCAAGTTTGTATGACAATAACTGCTTCCTATATCGCCGTTCTCTCGTATTTTTTTTTTAAATAGCAACAGTTATTGCGTGATATGTAACAGAACAGCTTATTTCTTCCACTTTTAAAAAATGTTAGTTACGTGCCATAATAAATAATTAATTAAAACACTAAAGGAAATTTATTCTTTACAATAAATGCTCAAAATGCTCAAAATTTGTATGCTGAAAGTAATACAATCAATCGTGGAAGCTCCAAATAGAATTGTCCATAAGTTTCTACAGTAATTCCGTGTATTTCATGACGTATTCGATCTTCTGAATCTTAGTTGGTCTGTTAACATGTTCAGGTAGTCCCAAAGAAAAGATCAAATGGTGTCAAGAAGGGTGATCTTGCCGCCTGCTCAATCACCTTTCACTCACTCTTCGACCAATCCATCTCTGCGGCAAAATGGTATTTAAATATTGGCCACGTCTCTATGATCATGCGGGATTGCACCATATTGTTGAAAGTATACGTTCACGTTTGAAACAAACGAATTCAATTGTTTTTTACCAAACCTGTCTACACAATAACTTTTTCTGAATCTTGTGTATGAATCTCCACCATCCAGTGCGGATTAGAATCTGGTATCTAGCATTATGGCATTACTTTTTAAACAGAATATGGCTTCTTTATTTAATCCAAGAAATTGTTTTGTCCTTTATTTACCCTGTTACAGTTTTACAAAATTCTAATCGTCGCGTCGATTAAAATTATCTTCATATAATTCTTGGAAAAGAATAAGGTTGAAAGTAATTCTTGGGCAAAATAGATTGTACAAACTTTCTGGTAAATATCACGATTTCTTGCCAGTTAATTTGTGACATTTTTGGATTCTCCTGAACGATTAAAAGCATATAACACGTTTTAAAACACCTTGAACGGTCTTTTCAGCTACCAGTTTTATTAAATTTCTTCATTTTATCAATACTGTTGATCTACTTAGAGGAGAAAATTGAGTGTTTAAATATTAGTAATCTTCCTTCTCGGTTTAAATAACAATTATCCCTAATTTCGAAGTCAAACTCTTATTATTTAAATAAAGTTAAATATTTGTATATGTTCTATCTATCTATACAGAGCTTCCTGTCCAATTTTGGACATAGGCCTCCTCTTCTTTTTTCCACGTCTCTCTATTGTAGGCAGTTTTTATCCATTTCGGGCCTGCGTGTTTCTTCAAGTCATCTGACCATCTCATTTGTGGCCTTCCTCTTTTTAGTTTGTAACTATATGGTCTCCAGTGTATAATCATCTTATTCCATCTGTCGTCTTTCTGTCTTATGGTATGTCCAGCGAACTTCCACTTAAGTTTTGCTATCTGCGTTGATACATCGGTCACTTTTGTTTTGTTGCGGATCCAAGTATTTCTTTTCTTGTCTGATAGCCAGATGTTCAGCATTTGCATATCCATGGCTTTTTGGGTCTTTGCTATTTTTTCCATGTTTTCCTTTGTAAACGTCCAAGTTTGAGAAGGTAAAGGTGAGAACAGAAAGTATACATTGATTGGAGACTCTTGTTTTTAAATATTGGGAGTATTTTCTATTTTTTAATATATAGGAAACTTTTCCGAAAGATACCCAAGCCAACCGTATCCTTCTCTTTATTTCTCCGGTCTGATTTTCTTTATTTAATTTAACTGGTTGTCCCAAATATACATATTCTTTTTTTACTTGTTCCATAGTTGTTTGTGCAATTGTAATTATTAAGTCTTCTGTTTGGTTGGCCATAATTTTCGTTTTATTATAATTCATTTGTAGACCTATTTTTGTTGATTCGCTATTTAATTCATTCATCATATTTTGTAATTCTTCCCTTTTATCTGTTATTAATACAATGTCGTCTGCATATCTCAAGTGATTCAAGTATTGGCCATTTATGTTCATACCCCGTTTTTCCCATTGTAATTTCCTCATAACGTCTTCCAAAGCTTGGTTGAATAGTTTTGGGTGATGTAGTGTCACCCTGTCTGACTCCTCATGTTCCACTTTATCCAATACTTTTTCTAAATCTACAAATGCCATATATATATTGGGATTTGATATTCGTTAGCCTTTTCAATTAATATTTTTATCGTAAGCAGATGGTCGCTTGTACTGAATCCTTTTCTAAAACCGGCTTGCTCTCTTGACTGGTAGTTATCTTTAGTAGTTTAGTTAACAGTTTTTACATTACATTGAGTAGCGTTATGGGCCTATAGTTTTTCAGATCTATTCTTCTATATTCTAGACCCCAAATAGAGGTCTCCCGACTTCCTGTTACTTCTTATAGATGCCGCTGCTAGCGTACCAGGCTGTTATTTTAATAATGATGGACAAATACGAGACTGCATTTAATTTCAGTTTAAACTTCCACGAGTGTCTCTGATGAGGAATTAAATAACTCGAAACACGTGTAGAACAATAGCGGAATTCGAATTGAAATGAAATGCATATATATATATATAATTTTCCAGGGGTAGTTGTATCTAGTGGTCCATCGTAAGTGCTTGTGCAGACACTTCTTCATAATGTAGTTTTTTAATCATATAAATTAAAATAGTGAAAAATACTTACATTATTGTCAGTGTCTTCTATAACCATGAGTATAGGTGACTCGAGTTTGAACATTTTCCTATACATGGAATTTAAACTGAAACCGTGTTGGCTGGTACTAAATATTAACGTCCATGCGTAGCCTTCCGCCCTGGCCGGTAAATGCCTGCAAAGGTTTTCTCTGTGGTGGTCTTTAAGGATTTCTGTGGTACCAATTAAGTCTGGTGGGGTAAGTTCTATATCTAAAGAAGGAGCAGCTGACGACGAATAGAATGCTCGCCGCAGTTCTTCTGACATCGGCAATACCTAAACAAAAAAGAAAAAGTACATATTAGTGTTATTGTGGCCACCAAACAGTTTGGATTCTAATTTATAATCAACAGAGAAGAAATACGATTTTGGATTTTTATATATTTTTTCAATTATACCGTGGACTATACACGCATGCACTATACAAAAAAATATTTATAATTCTTAGATTATTTTACAAAGGATTTGGATATCTTGATACGCACACTTAACAAAATTACATTTAATTATTCGTAGTTCACTCTTTTAGTTTTATAGATTATAAAATAGCCTTTTGACAACCTTTCTGTCGCAAGAAAAAAGGCCGTTCAAGACATAAGAAAACAGGGTTTATATCCAATATTTAACAGTATCCAAGATTTTAATATAACCCTAAGGAGAAAATTAAAAAAGAGAACTGAATTTACTATTCCAAATAATAATATTTTTTCATAAATCTTAATAATAAAAATTAAGAAAGATATATATTAGATATATAAAAGATATTCTATCCAGCTCACAATTCACTGATAAATTATTCTGATCTGTAGATCTGTAAATAGATACACAAAATCTGCCAGTGGAGTCGAGTTCCTGGAAAATGCCAAAAAACCCTTAATTTTGTATATCTTTATATTTTCACCTGGTCATATCAAAATGTTTGTTAACGTTCTGATGCGCCTCAAATTCTCAAATAGCCTCTCCTACTTAAATGTTAACCTCAAATTCATGTTGGTGAACCTTGTTATCACAAACGAGGATGTAACAACTGGAATTAAGGAAATGCAATTTCATTAAAAATCGCCAAACAGGTCTAGGCAAGCATGGCAGATTTTAAGTTCAACTGAACACTCCCTTAAATAAAATGAAAATTTCATTCTTTCAAAATGTATTACCCTAGGCGATTAGGAAAAGATTTCCAGTATCTCGCACTACACTGCTAGTCTGCCCTACGTATTTTAGTAGAGGAAGGGGGAAGGGTATGACCATACACCAAACTTAAAACACTTAAAACTTAACGTAGCTTTTATAAATATAAATACGAGGGTCATGAAATCCAAACTGCCAGACACAACCAAATCACTGAACTGCAAAGAAGAATCATATACATGGCCGTATATAGAGCTCTACCGGACAACTTTAAGAGCAACATTCATTGAGCAACAATTTACTTAAAAAAGAAGACGTTTCAGTAATGTGTACTCCCATTCATGACGTACGGCGCCGATTTACTTGCCTTAACCCAGGCAACTGCATCCAAATTAGGAGTAGCCAAAGAAGAATGGAGCGGTCGTTACTTACAGAGATACGGTTAGGAAATAAGAAGGATAAGCGATAGGCGTAATATATGTCATAGAGCACGTAGCATGACTGAAGTGGAACTGGGCGTGCATATGGACAGAATGAATAACGGCCAGTGGACCCAAAAAATTTTAATGTGGAGACCACCAGAAGACAAGAAGCAGAGGCAGACTACCTACACTATGGATAGACGACGTTAACAGAATCGCTGAGAATTGACTGCAGGAAGCTGAAGACCGATAGAACTGGAAGAAATTAAGAGAGGCCTATGTTCAACTTTTAATAAAGAAGGTTGGATGATGACATCAAAATAAAACTTTGATTTGCGAAGGTACCCTAGCTTTCAAAACGCAAACAAAGCCATACGAGAAAAAAGCTCATAGCCATGGTTATTTCTTTCTATATAATTTGATTTTCAAGATATTTATAAGATGTTTGTTTGATTTTAATTCGTTATATCTAATTCTAATTTAGTAAACTATAACTTACTAAATATGTGTTTGGTATGTTCATTTTTAATCCAACGTGCCCGGAGGCACTTATATGGACAATGTCTATGTATGTATTCTGTACACATTTAAATATTTTTGCATTCAGTTTGATGAATCTTTTAACATAATTGGTATTGCTAATTAATACTCCAATTTCCCCACATGCAAATAATATCAATTAATGATGGACTCTTATGGACATTATACCATCTCTACCATCTCTAAAACACATTCAGTGACCACATTACCACGTTTAAACAAATGATAGGTGCGTGTGTATATGTAGGTCTACTGGTGCATCATCTACTATGTGATGGATAGAATGTTACAGATCAGAACTAGGAACTCAACATTTTATTTTATTTTAAGGAACTGTTTGTTGATAAGTAGTATCATCGCCTACCAGCTGGATTTTAGGCAGGTGGTAATTAAAGGGACTGTAATAAAATAAAGTTCATCCTTTGACTTCTTCCTTTCCTGTTTTAACTGGAGAAACAACTTGTAGTATCTTAAACTTACCAACCTCATTTACTTTGAGCCCTTGATGGCCTGGTACCTACCATTCAGTATGGTAATGAGACGATTGAATTATTTCCAGAAAGTTATGAAAAACTTAACGAAACGAATCCCTTTATATTTTTTAAATACATACACGAACCTCTGAGACCAATTCACGGTAAATATAAAGTGGACAGTATTATTTCTTGAGATTTGAAGAGATCTAGGTTCAAGATCCACCACGTGAAACATTTAGAATTAAAATTTTTCGAAAGGTGGCGAATGAATATAGATTCCGAAGCCAATAATACAAAAAGAACTTCGAGGTCTCTTTTATGAAATGTTGGCTGCAACACTATGCCAAATTGTACCAAATGTACGTAAATCTTGATATTTAACTGTAACTTGGCAGTATTAGTCGCGATATTGCATTTTAAATTCGAAAACCCACCGTAGCAAATCTCTTTGTTTAATTACAATGTACTGAGTAATAACGTTTATTATAGATCGATGGAACACAGCCAAAAATAATTAACACCAGCAACTGGTACATAAATCTTGAAAATTTCGAAATATAAACCTTCAACTTTAATAATCTCACGGTTAACTACACGCAAAAACATATTTCTTCTCTATTTCTCGCTCTAATACGTGTTCTTCAAGGAGGATTTAAAATATAAGCCAAAGGGAATGACGATATATTTCTTTGATATTATTTAGTCGTGGAAAGAGCACTTTTAGTATATAGCGCTATCGAAGGAGAAGAAAATTAATGCATGTGTAAAATAACTTCACATGTTAACCCCATTTACGATTACGCTAATGTTTGGTCTCAAACTTGTACTGAAATGATCGAAAACTTACTTTCTCCATTTTTTCCATTTTAATTTTATTAAATATATCAATGTTCTTCCGAGATAGCAATATACATATATTATTAGCTGCTTCTTTCTCACTGTTAATATTGGACTACTTTATTAAAAATTCTTGTTACACTTTTCTAACGACAAAACATATATTATGTACATCAAAACTAAGTGCTGAACTTTACATCTATGTACATATTTACACTATTATGTGCACCTTTTATCAACCTAAAAATCAAAATAGGTATTTTGAAGGTAATACCAAATTTACATAAGGAAACTCTCAGAAATACTGTCAAATTGACACAATATACGGTCCAGACAGGACAGATAAAATTCAATAAAGAGCTCGATACATAGTACAAGTAAATTACAATGGTTTTTCGAATTAATTTTATTTTTAACTTCTCAGACGTTCGTTAATAATATTGAAAATCTCATACGGCATAATGGCAGTGCTAAAACTCATGAAATATTAGATATCACTAATTGTATTGCAAAAAGATTCCTTTTAAATTTCGTTTACACAGAATTTTGATGACGTCACGTTGACAGTTTATGTAGATTTTGAATTTAAAGCTATACATAATGATTGGAAATCTAAATCACCACAAAACTTCCCTGACATAACCGTGCATGATCAAAGAATTTAACGTGTAAGAAGATATAATTACCTGGGAACTGTTATCAACGATAATAATGACTGCTCTGAAGAAATCAGAACCAGAATAGAGAAAGCTAGAGCCACATTTACTAAATTGAAAAAGGTGTTCTGCGGAAGAGATCTAAGTCTAAAACTTAAAATTCGCCTTTTGAGATGTTACGTTATGTCAGTTCTCCTCTACGGGATGGAAACATAGACATTGAAAAAGATCGATACCAAAAAGATAGAAGCATTTGAGTTGTGGATGTATCGTAGAATATTAAAAATACCCTGGACAGAGAAAGTAACAAATGTGGAGGTTTTGCGGAGAGTGCGGAAAGAGAAAGAGCTGATACTTACTGTTAAAAAGCGCAAACTACAATATTTGGGACATGTTATGAGGGGAGATAAATACCAGTTGCTGCAATTGATTATACAGGGAAAGATAATGGGAAAGAGATCTATAGGAAGAAGAAGGCATACATGGTTGAAAAACTTGAGAGAATGGTACAATTGCACCAATTACCAACTGTTTAGATCTGCAGCATCAAAAATACGCATAGCTTTGATGATAGCCAAACTTCGGAACGAAGACGGCACTTGAAGAAGAATGATTGGCTTATTTTACTGACATAACTTTTGACTCTAAATTCTTGGTGTAAATTAATTTTAACATTCAAACATGAGGACAAGTTATTGAAAGAAAATTCGTCTTTTTAAACAAGGCTTAACCTCAAAAAATTATAGCGTGAAATAATACACAGAAAAAAATATAAAATTCGACATCTAAAGATATCCCTGAAATAGACCTTAAACACTAATAAATGAATTTAAACTTGATTGGCTTAAACAGTTTAAACAAAAGGGAAAGTGGTGTCAACAATGTCAAAGCGAATTCTCTATAAAACCAACTCTATAAAGTACCAAAATAATGCACTGATGATGATCTGAGCTACATCGAAAACGTTATGCATCTCTAATTTTTGGACGATACTTTTAACAAGATTTAATAAAAAATGTTCTTATAGCCATATACAAAATTTTAAAGTCTTTTACTTCTGCATTAGTTTTTTAACTATGGTATACATCCAACTACTGGGAACTGCTTTATTTTTATTCCGAATATTCACTGCAAAAGAACCAGCTGTGAAATATACACAGAAATACACACAAGTTGACGAGAGAAATATTTGTGCAATATATGCAATACATTGTGCA